TTAGCGTATGCACATAGCCAGGTTGCTGTAGAGCGGGTGTCCCCTACCCACTATTTTTCGTTGTGCTACACAGCAAGTGAAGCATAGTCAAAACATCCATAGATACAGCACAATCTCTTTATAGTGGGGAACCCTATTGTTTGTAGGCTATTATCTATGAGATCAGCTATTATAGCCACTTATATATATCTAGCTATTTGTGATTCACAATAATTTTGACTACCAAGTACATAGCTATACTCACCACTTGTGTTTCAATGACACGGTCTGTCATGATGATGTCATGGGGCGTGGTCATACCAACAACCAACGAAGAGTTATTGACACTGACACTCACTGGGTTGTGGTAGTTGGAGTACGCCTTACTAAAGTTGATTACAGCCACCTGTACAATAATAGCACAATGAGAAAGAAGGAAAAAGATGTTAGCACTTGGCAAAGGTTTTGTTGAGTTAGGAGTCATAATTATGTGCAGGATCTTCCCTCGCCAAATACATGCTGTTTGTTCAGCTAATCTAAGCACACCTCTGCCTTAGCCTGCCTATGCTCTTTAACCGGGCACTGTGCTATACGTGATTCTAATTACACGCGAAACGCAAAAATTGAACTACCTGCCAAAAATGTGTTGCATTCGTTCTAGTACAATGCCATAAAGGAAATCAATCTGAATTTCTCCCTATGATTAATCAGGGGATATGGTTAATAAACCTCCGAACAAGGGACACTGTGGGGTCTACGATTTTGTCCCTTGCAGAGAGGTTGTCCCTACCTCGGAAACTAAAGTATTAGCGTGTGGTTGAAACAAGTGTCCTCTGTAGAGAGCTCGTCCCTATCTCGGAGGGTCCCTTATCAGAGGTTCCACTGTAATTGTGTACATTAAGCTCTCTCACTCTGTAACATACCTTGTCAAAAACTCTGGCCAGTGCTCCAGCAAAACCAATGGACTCTGAGTCAAACACAATGCACAGAGCACCGCAGAGTAGCTTCTCCTGAAGATCAGGTGGTGGAGGATCAATGACACTGCCGACACAGCGAGCAGACAGCCCCAACACCACTCCACGTATAGTCGGTGGTAGTAGCTATAACAGATGGAAAGAGAGGAAAAGAGAGAGAGAGAGAAAAATAAGAGAAATAACAATCAATGAGAGTACGGGTATGGTTTGTTGTATATAAATACTGCAGTTTTTTTTGATGCTGTGGAACAATACTCTACAGCACAAAAGCTCATTATGAAGGGAGACACAGAGCTAAATATGAAATCCAACACATACAGTAGGACATTCCTGAAACTAGAGATTGTATAATTGGGCACTCTTAGAACTCTTAGTGTACTGGACAACTGGGTGTCCTACGACCAAATGATGTGACATGGAAAACTTGGTGTACAGCTAATCGGTGGTAGTAGATCAAATCCCTAACTGAGTCCCTTCTTTCATTTTTATCACTCTGTAGGTTAAAATAGTTTACTTCCAGTAGAGTGCATGATCCTGGTGTAGCTATACATAAAATTCCTTCTCGGCTCACCAGTGGTGTATGATGGTCCACCGTATCGTGCTTGTCCACAAGATCAAAGTTCCTCCAACCAAGATCAGCATTCAGGAACTTTCTGTCCACCATCACTGTAAAAAACAGCAATAAAGTACTATAGATATATAGACGCAATCTATGTAGCTAACTCAGATAGCATATCAGACCAGGGGTTCACCTTTCTTGTTCTCATCATCAAACTCAATCACAGTTTGGTGACTGCTGATTCTTGCCAGTTCGACATTATTCAGTTCCTTCAGTAGTCTCAGTAGGTGAACCTCTCTCAGTACCTGGGCCAGACCACCGTCAGTACGAAACAACTTGACCAGGAGGAAATCATAGTCCGTCTGAATGTGGTATGAGTTAATACGTTTGAATGAGGGGGCTAAGAAAATGGAGAGGATACTATAAGCAGTTGGAGATAGACCTCCAAGCTTCATTACGAAGGCAATTGGAGGGGTGAAGTGGTGAAAGGGGAGAGACGTCTGGAACGAGAATTCGGCAACCTTGTCTAGACTGAGATCCTTTGCGTGACTGTCTACAAGCCAAATGAACCCAACGCAAAGGCATAAGATGGTTGTTAAAAGTAGGACGAGGTAGATTATCCATATCTTGTGCAACAGTCTGAGAGATGTAAAGACACACGTGACAGTCTTGCCAGTCAATGGCCAGTCATCACCAAGGGTTTCCTCCCGATCCTCTGGACAAGTAAATGTCTCATTGAAATCTCCAAAAAACAAAACTGCAACAAATCCTCCGAGTGATAGCAGTAATTGAACGAACAATTTCAGGAGATAGATTCTGTACATGGAGTTGGAGCGGTGGGTGCCGCTGGAGAAGGCGTCCAGTTGCTTCGAGATGACGTAGTTGCTCTCTGGATAGTCGCCCGTGCTCGGCTCACGGGTCCGAATTAGCCCAGACACCAGGTGGAAGAAAGAATCCAACTTGGCACCGAATAGATTCAGCCAGATGTAGTGCGGAGCCAGGATCAGGATGGCGTGAACGGCGATGAAGGCAGGGAGATACTCGGCCGGCGGGAGGCTCGCTGCACACCTCTCGTTAACGTACTCGCCCACATTCTCGAAGGAGTCAGCGACGGCCGAACGGTTGAAGAAACACTGGACCTCCGACCCGCGAACATACTCGGTGATAAAGTCGATCGCCGACAGAGCGAGAATGGCGCCGACCACGAAGAGCGTGACCGAGTCCCAGAAGAAATCGCGGGACTGGACGGACGGACGGTTCTCGCCGTCCTTACGTCCTTCCAACTCCTTGGCGTCCGGCACACCGATGCTCGCCATCGCGAATTGGGCGGAGGGGGGCGAGCGTAGATAATGCGCATGCGTAATTAGTTCGCAGGATGCTGTCGGTTTTTACAAAATGATACACCAACTCCACCAACTACTATCACCGCCGCCGGTAATGACCCTTTCTCCAACTATGACGTACACGTAGCCGGGTTCCGACGGAGCGTTGCTCTTCGTGTGAACGTTTTCAGGAGGGACTCTGATTTCAAACAGTTTGTCCTCGGCTGCCTTCATGTTCTGCGTCTTGGAGTAGTACATAGCGCCGGAGTAGCCGTCGTATTCGTACTGCTTCATTCTTTGTTCCGGTTCTATCGTGGCGCCGGCTCTAATGGCCCCGCTTCTTCGGATTATCTGGTGGAGTCGCTCCTGCGTTATTGGTCCTTTCAACTGTTACGATCATAGATACATATATATAATTATAGCTAAGTCCAGATCACTGATGATGTGCAATAATAGCTAGCTAGCTTCAAACAAGGTCCGAACTTACGGTAAGATGTCCCATTTTCTCCCGTACACAAAGTCACGAATCGGCTAGACGGGGCGGGGCGTATGGACTAACCTCCTGATCGATTTTGCTTTGCAACCTCGCCCCTTTTTTCGTATCAATGAATACGCTCACGTTCCTAGCATGTCGGCCAGCGCAGCTGCGGAACTCACGTCCAGCTACACCCAAAGCGCATGCGCAAATGTTCAATTATAATATGGTGTGCAAGGCATAATTATACGTTGTTCTCAGTGTTGCCTGCATTCACTTGAAAAAGCGTCGGAAATGGCATCCGAAGACATTCTTGGCGAATATCCTGAGCTGAGGCCGTTCGTGCTCTCCAACCTGCGACTGACTGGCATCAAAATCGGCGCCGGAGCCTACGCCAGCGTGGAAGAGGTGGCCATGCCTGGAGCCATCTGCGCAGCCAAAAAGATCCACGACATCTTCCTGGACCGCTCCGAGATCCCCGCGGCCGAGATCCGCAGAGCCGGAGCCCAGTTCGTGAGGGAATGTCGGCTAATGAGCACCCTCCGCCACCCGAACATCGTCCAGTTTCTGGGCGTCGCCGTCTTCCCTGGTTCGCGACTTCCAGCCCTCGTCATGGAGCGACTGCTGACGAGTCTTCACGACTTGCTGGATCCAGAAACCGACACCCCTCCCCCGCAAGATGCTCACAAGGCCTTTCTACCCTTGAGCCTGAAGTGTTCGATTCTGCACAACGTGGCGTGCGGCCTAGCCTACCTCCACGAGCGATCGCCGCCCATCATCCACCGTGACCTGTCTGCCAGAAACATCCTCCTCAACTCGGGAATGGTGGCCAAGATTGTCGACTTGGGCGTGGCTCGTATCGTTCCTCGCATGAGGGCTGCTGCCACCATGACAAAGGGCCCTGGGGCATCAATTTACATGCCTCCAGAGGCGGTTGATCCTGCAGAAGTCAACGCTGAAAAATCGAAATACGACGCTAGTATTGATGTGTTCTCTTTTGCAGTTGTCACCATCTTCACAATCGGTGAAGTCTTCCCCTGTGATCCTCTTGCTGCAACGTATCTTGACGAAAAAGGTGAGGTAATGGGTCGCACTGAATTGCAGCGACGCAGTGTGTATATGCGATATGTGAACGAGCAACTCCGTGCCTGTGGCCAGCTCTGAGGGGACCACCCTCTCATTAGGCTGATCCAGCAATGCATGCACAACGACACCCACAAACGTCCGGGCATTCGCGAGGTGCTGCGTCTGTTGGAGGAGGCCAGAGCTGGAGCCAGAGACAACGGATGGGAAGAGGTGCAAGCCTGTCAGAGTGAGCCCAGGAGCCAGGTTACGGTGTGTGTGTATGTGTGTGCTAATGCTGTAACTGAAATTTGATAAATACTTCGCAGAGTTTGGATAGAGATATGGAGTCTCGTGTGCAGGAACTACAGCAAGAATTGCAGTCCAAGAACCAGGTAATGATGTCATCTCTTACATGTTTGATTATTGAGAGTTAAAATTAGGAGAATGCTGAACTGCAGCAACAGCTACAGTCTATTAACCAGGTATTTTTGATTGTTTAGAGTTTGTGTATCAGGTAATGTGTTAGTATCTAAAAAGCCCTTGTTACTTATACTGCTGTTGTGTGCAGAATTTGGAGACAAGAACTCCAGTCACGTACGGAGGCCAAGGACAGGGAGCTAGCTGAGGTTCAGCAGCAACTGAGACAGAGGGTATTATTATACCACTTGTGTTAGCAGTGTGCACAATAAGAAAAAAATTGTTTATTCAAACCCCTTGGTTGCTCTGCAGATTTTAATTTGTGGTAAAGCAGTAGTGTTTGGATAGGACAGTGTAGTGCTACTTCCTGTTTGGAAATCCCCCAGTTTCCAAACAACAGGTTGTGCTGCAAAAACCTTGTGTATGTTAGTGCATGCATACATTCTTCATTTCTCAATCAAGCCTGAAAGCACAATCCACACGTGCAATAAACAATGCGCAATTTCGGGGGGGGGAAGGTAAATGATACTCTACGCATGACATACAGGAAGAGCAGAGTGGCAGGGATAGGCGAGAGATGAGACGAGAGATAGAAGCAGAGTTCAGAATGACTATCAGAAGAGAGGAAGAAGAGGAGAGAGAACCTGTGCTCCAGAGACTGCGCAACGCCATTTCTCTGGACGATATAAAAGAGAAGGTGATTGACATAATGAGCATGAACTGCCGAATCCAAATGCAGTAAAGTGGCATGTAACTCCAATGTCGTTCCTACACTTCATGGATTGAGTATAACTTCATGTGCTTTACATTCATGCGTATAAAGTATTTGGACTTTGTACGCAGATAAAGACACTGCATTATTGCTGGACGTATGTTGTGTGAGCGGTATAATTATACATAGAAGTTGTGACAAATTTTCCAACGTTTTTTATGCAGAAGAAAAACTAGGACACTGTTGCCCGGTGCCTTTTCTACATGCTGTTCCATCAGACACAACTAGCAATCATTCTCTAGCATCTTGATGTATAATTATACAATTTAATTACTAATGTGGGTTAATGCACTCCTTGTTATCTTTCCTCTTCCTCTGTCCTGTCCCTCTATCCTCCTTCTCCCTCCTCTGTCGCTTTTCCATCCGTCTCTAGCTATCCTTCATTAAAGATTTCATCTCTGCTTGTCTCTGCCTGTGCTGTGAGATGAGGGTAAGGAGTTGGCTACCAGACCTGGTGGTTTTAAATCCAGCATCACTTTATTTTATCAACAATTATAATGGGATTTATTGATTAAACCTGGCATTTCCACAAAAAGGCCTAAATTAATTATATACATCTTCAGATAAATGTGTGGAGCAGTACTAAAATGTATGAATACTGAGGTACTAAAACAGTGTGTGACACATCTTGAATTATAAGGAATGTGGCTGTACTACAGAAACTGCTATATTATTATACTGGAACAAAAATTTACTGCATTCTTTCACAACTAGCCCTTTTGTACTGTCACATTCCTTTTGACGTACCACTGAAACTCTCTGCGTTAATGGTTGTTTCTCCAGTGTTACACAGAAGGACAGAAGAAGTGGAGACTGATTTTCATTGCACTCAACATCCTCTACCTGGTAAGAGGTGTGCACACTGCCGTTGGTGGACATGTAAAATAACAGCTCATGCTTTACTTACATACAGAAGGAAGGAAGAGAATGAAGTGTGAAAGGGCTGATGTATGTGATATTTGGTAAAGTAAAGAAAGACTGGGATGACTTTGTATACATCATCATGACCCTCATTACCTCTAATTTTGCTGGGCTGTTTTAGAGGACACCATGCAGTATTGGTTCCCTTAACAATAACTTGCAAGCAGTTCCATTGCATGGTCTAAGGATTACCACTGTTAGTAGCTAGATGACTTCTTGAGATAATGAAAAGCACTGAAGTGCAAACCCTCGATGAATAGCACATGTGCGGTACAGATAAATTGATGGGCTGGGCTAGCTTACTATACATTTACTCGTGGTCTCCCGCTAAAGCTCGTGGATAGTCTGACATGCGATATGTGAACGAGCAACTCCGTGTACAAATGTAAATGTGTTCAATTTTTCATATTTACAAGTCTCCCACTACTATGCAAGGACAAAAATGGCTCAGGAATTCTTTGTCAGCATCTCTGTCTCTCCCTAGTCCCTATACCTTCCTCTCTCTCGTAGATGATTGGGGCGACACTAATTGGAATAGGGTCGTGGCTCGTTACTAGGGGATTCGACTACACTTTAGCCACGACTATTCTAGCTTGCTCTACATTCTCCCTGGGATCTTCGCCGTGCTGTTATCTCTCGTAGGGATAATTGGCACTCTTGGAATGTGGTACCGCGTGCACACTTGGGTAAGTTGCTATAATTATCCACTTGTATTAGAAAAGGTTTGAGGACAGAGCATGCAAATTTCTCCAAGCATTGACCATCGTAACCGTTTAATACTTTTTAACAAATCAATTTTTAAAACAGTCTTAGCACGCCACCGGACATAATATATTCCCAAGCGACCACCATCAACCATAATAATTTAATATGGGGGCTATAATACTAGGGCGTTAATATGTTATACTCAATTCTTACATATTTAAGGAGATACCCATGGGGTTAATGTGTAAAATATTGGCGCCAGAGGTACATTCTTGTCCATTGTGTACGTATCTTCAGAGTACTTTTTCCCGATAGCAGATCTAACCGTTTATTTTTGTAAATGTAATGGTAACAAATAGCTCTATGAACTCTTTTTTTCTCCCCCAGTTGCAGGTTGCATGGCAGGGCTTTATGCCATCATAATACTGGGGTTTTCGGTTATAATGAACAGGGTAAGCTTTTGTATGTATAATTATGTGTGTAACTATTAGTCAAGAGACAGAATTTGTGAATTTTGACCACATGTGTTTCCAATGAAATTTTGTGCTGTGAAGTTTATAACGTAGTATTATGAACTAAGTTATATATTACACGCCTTCCCTTCTAACTTAATAATTGCTTCCCCATGCAGTCTAGACGGCAAAGAAGTTTTGCCTGAAGACATTCGTGCCTACACTGTCAATGGTACAGACAGTATAATGCCAACAGATTCATAGACCAAGCTCAAGAAGAGGTAAGAGGTGCTTCAAAACAAATATTATACACTTAAAATGAATTACCTTTCGTGTGTAGTTTAATTGCTGTGGATTCAATGGGCCAGATGACTGGGTCAACACCACGTATTTCGAGGAGACAGGAGGAATGCTACCTCAGAGTTGTTTGTGTGGCAATCTCAACTGTGGAAGCTGTATTCGTTTGGAGAAGAATGTGACTCGAATAGACCTGGAAGAATTTAGTGTGGGCACGGGTTATGGTTTTGCCTTAGTAGATTCACTTTAGCACCCCAGGTACTTCTGCTTTATAAATCTCACTAATGCCTACAACCACGCAAAGGCTGGGAAACCTCAGCATGTATAGTGAGCCCATTTTAACATTTAGCCCTTTTCTACAACATGCAGCCATAACATACACATCAATCCCTCCTACTCCAGGTTGCAAGGGAACTGTCGTCAGAGAGGAAATGGAGAAAGTCTTGTTTTAGCGCTGGTACATGATGGCTTTCAGTCCATCCAAGTATGTTA